CAGCGGGGGCCCAGGCCGAGGAAGACCCTGCTTGCCTCCAGGGGGCCCCGGGTTTCTTGGGTTTCGAGGGTTCTGCGATGGAGAGCGCGACGCTCCCACGCCAAAAACCAATGGACGGCCTGGGGTCTCAGGGTTGGGCTCCTTGTGGAAGGTTTCTCGTGCCCCACCTCGCGGGCCTAGAGATTGACACCAACACCAATATCGGCGGTGTGCACCCACCGAGGGAAGAAGATCCCGATCTCGGTGATGGTGGTGATATTTTGGCTTCCAAGGTGGCCGAAACACTACCACCAACACCGAAGTCCAGGATCACCTCCCCCCCTGTGGAGGCAACCCCCTGCGTTGGTGTTGGTGCCCATTTCCAGGCCTCGAACTCTTCCGCGCCCCCCTGCCTGGCGGCTGGCGGCCTCCGCGCCCCCCCCCCCCGCCCTGTGCGGAAGGAGGAGGAGGAGGAGGAGGAGGAGGAGGAGGAGGAGGAGGAGGAGGAGGAGGAGGAGGAGGAGGAGGAGGAGGAGGAGGAGGAGGAGGAGGGGGAGGAGGACCAGTGTGAACCCCAGAGTCATCAACGATGTTGGAGTAAACCCTCCCTCCAAGCTCCTTCTTCATAGGCTTAAATCGGGCCTGTCCCTCTACAGGGGGAAAGCTCAAACATAGGAGACACCATCGTCTGGGGATGATTTCTTGAGTGTTTTTTTTGTTTTGCCGTTTTGGAGTATTCCTGGGGTGCTTTTAATTTTTCGTCCAAAATCCCCCTGTAGGGGGACACCGAGAGGAGGAGGAGGAGGATGAGGGGGAGGAGGAGGAGGAGGAGGAGGAGGAGGAGGAGGAGGAGGAGGAAGAGGAGGAGGAGGAGGAGGAGGAGGAGGAGGAGGAGGAGGAGGAGGAGGAGGAGGGAGGAGGCGGAGGAGGAGGAGGAGGAGGAGGAGGAGGAGGAGGAGGAGGAGGAGGAGGAGGAGGAGGAGAAGGAGAAGGAGGAGGGAGGGAGGAGGTTTCTTGGTGCCCTGCCGTGCGCGGCCGCCCGGGCGCTCAGCGTGCGCCGCTGCTCCCCGGGCGTCCCGCCTCGCGTCGTCGACGAGCGGCCAACTTCGTGGCGCGGCCGCCAGGCCTCCCGCCTCGCGCTCTCGGGGGGAGAAGGCTCGGGAGGGGAAAAACACACACACACACAGACATAACAAATCGTCGACTCCCAGGAAGATATGGGAAGATGTGGGAAGTGGGGGGGAAGACAGAAACTGGGAAAATATGGGAAGATATGGGGATTCCTGTGATTTGTGCGCATTCATTGGTGTGTTTGTGGGCCCCGTCAAAGGCTGAGTTTTGGCCAGAATTGGAAGGCGGGTCCACCTGGACATTGAAAGCTACATTGGACAACGACTGAAGAGTGAGTTTTGGCCAGAATGTCGGAGGAAATCCAGCCTTGGCGACGAGGAGCCCCCCGGATGCCAACACATGTTTCTTCGAAGAAGAACGCCATACGCATAAACTTGTGGCGCTCCGCGCGGATCTTTTGGATCTGCGCTGGGCCCCCCCAGCGGCGCCTCCGGCGCCGCCCCTGGCGCGCTTCGCGCGCCAGGGAGGGGGGTCCAGAGCATCCAAGAAATCCGCGCGGAGCGCCACAAGTTTACGCTTATGGCTTTATTCTTCTTTTTCTTCTTCTAAGAGATATGTGTTTGGCCTCTGGGGGGCTCCTCGTCGCCAAGGCCAGATTCTCTCTGAAATTCTGGCCCAAACTCACCCTTCAGTCGTTTTCCAATGTAGCTTTCAATGTCCAGGTGGACGGATCGACTCGAGTAGAGAGGGTATTCTCCTGGCGTCGACGTCTTCAAAATCATGTCAGTGGCATTGCTGCTCGTACTTCGGCGCCTTAGTCCGCAACAGGATCGCACCTGGACGACGCTGAACTGCGTTCCATCAGAGTCCGATTTTTCCCCGCCGCATCAAAAATGTGATCGATTTGGGAATTGGCCAGACTTAGCATTGGTTTGCAACAGCGGGAAACAAGCGCGGCGGTTCCCTTGGGTTGCCGTGCAGTTGCATGTTTGGCCCAAACGGGTATCCCCTAGTATCTAAGTGGCGAAAGCCGGCAGGGTCTCAGCATGCGCAACACATCCTCGAGGACTTGTGCAGGAATCACGCCTGGAAGATGCTGAAGCCCCGGCCTCAGGGCCTCAGCATGGCCTCAGCGTGCGCCGCGCATGCCCTCGCCGAAAAAAACGCCCCATCGTTCCCCCAACGTAAGTAGTCCGTCGGGGTCCCGTCAGGGGCGGGGTGAGGCCTTCGCCGCGGAGATCTCGGCGCGGCCTCCACGCGCGCCAGGAGTCCGCGAGGACAGTACGAAATCACGTATGAGTGATGTCGACATCCCGAGCATTCTCTTTGGGTGGAGGGCAAAGGGTGAAGTCTGAAATGCCGTTTCGATGGGTTTTCGAGGCCTGAATCTGCAAAAGGTGAATCTCGAGACGGGTTGACTTTCGAGGTGCAAAAACCCATATGGATTTCACCCTGAGCCCTCCACCCTCAGAAAATGCTCCGACATCCTCCCGCAGCAAAGATTCCTCGTTGCCTCGACGCTCGCGTGGCGTCGTCGAAAACGGTGCGGGATCTCGTCCGGGGCATGTGGAGACCCGCGCTGCCAGTCCTCCGTGCAGCGGCAGCGTGGGCCGGAAGTGAGAAGGTGGGGGGGAGGGGGGAGAAGGAGGAGGAGCAGGTGCCTTTGAGGGAGGACGAGGACGAGGAGGAGGAGGGGGAGGACGAGGAGGAGGAGAAGGAGGAGGAGGGTGAGGAGGAGGAGGACCAGTGTGTAAACACAAGACTCATCAACGATATTGAGATACACCCTCCCTCCAAGATCCCTTTTCATGGGCCGATGCAAGGGGTCATTTCCAAAGGGAATTGCCCCGTTGGGGGACAACCGTATGAACATCTCATACCATTCTCAGGACTTCAACGCCACGAGTGAACCTGACTCTTACTTCTTGGCGATCCTGAATCGTGCCAGAACGCCATTCTTGGGACTTCAGCACCCCGGATCAACATACCTGATGCGACCTGACAATCCAGAATTGTTCCAGAACGCCATTTCTGGTACTTTAACCATGAGAACCAGTGAAACTCTTGCGAATGTTTGGAAGCGGCGCTATGGCGAGAGCCAGATGTTGAAAAGGAACCGCCCTCACTTCGTGAAACTCTTGCGAATTTTCGAAACGAATGTGTGCGGCGCTAAGGCGAGAGCCACATTATGAAAACGACCCCTCGCAAACATTCGTGCCCGGCGCTGAGGCGAGAGCCACATTTTGATAACCAGCCGCCCTCAATCCGTAAAGTTCTGGCACATGTTTAAAACGAATGTGCGCTCCGCTGAGGCGAGAGCCACATTTTGAAAACCACCTGCCTTCAATCCGTAAAACTCGTGCAACTGTTGATAACGAATGTGCGCGGCGCAATGGCGAGAGTCAGATTTCGAAAACGACCCGCCCTCAATCCGTGAAGCTCTCGCAACTTGTTAGACAAATGCACGCGGCGCTGAGGCGAGAGCCACATTTTGAAAACCACCCGCCCTCCATCTGTGAAGCTTTTGTCAAGTTTTCAGCATCAGGATCACACATGGTGAGGAAGTCCCAGGCGAAACGCCCAGCCCGCCCTTTCGACTGGCCGCGGGTTGCGACAGGGATGAGTTATGTACAAGGATTAGGAGTGGAGCAGGAGGAGGAGGAGGAGGAGGAGGAGGAGGAGGAGGAGGAGGAGGAGGAGGAGGAGGACGAGGACGAGGACGAGGACGAGGACGAGGACGAGGACGAGGACGAGGAGAGAGAGGAGGCGATGCGGCGCGATTCTCCGAGCCCACTCGGGAGGCCTCCACAGGTAGCAGCCCAGAATGGGCCCTGACAGGATCGGTGCTCGCGCGCGTGCTGAAGTCCTCCCACACCGGGGCGGGCCCCTCAGGACGTGCAAGAAGGACGCCGACTTGTTTCCGTCCGTGCAGGCGGCCCCCCCGCGCGCAGGGCTGGCAGGGGGGGAGGTCAGGCAACAGCTCGGGGGAGGCCTTGGCGGGAGCCCTTGCGGAAGAGCGGAGGAGCCCGATCGAGAGGGGGCACCGTGCCAGCCTGCCTCCCGGACCAAGGGGGGTAAGACACGGACTGCGTGAGGCGGGATTCGGCCAGAGTCGGGCGGTGTTCGACCGCGGGCACACCAGCGCCGATGCTGGCTTATGCTGGCTTCAATTTGCCAGGAGCTGCAGCCCAGGGGAATGGGGGAAAATAAGGGAAGATGATCCTGGCAAGGGGGACTGAAGTCCCCACCCTGCCAGGTCGACCAGCGAGTCCGCCTGTGGGGCCTGTGAGGAGCTTTGCAAGAGAATGGTGCGGCACTGCGGCACGCGCCCGCGGGGTTCGGTCTCCAGGCTGTTCTCACGAAGGATGCTCTGCTGAGGGGGAGACGAGCGTGGAAAGGGAGAGTGGCCCTGGGAGAGGGGAGGTCACGGGGTCGGGGTGGGCGAGGAGGATGAGGACGAGGATCTCGGGTGGTGGTGGGTTCGCCTGGGTTCGCCACTGTGTACCTTGTGCTCCGCTCTGCCACAGAAACTGCCTCCTTGCAGTGATGCCAAGACCGCCTCAGGAGCCCCCTGAGGACAGGGGTGGCGGCCCCTGGAAGCACGAATGAGATTCTGAAGACCCTTCTTGGCCCTGAAGCCCGAGCAAGGCCTGGAGAGATGACGGCCATCGATCGTGGCCGCGAGACTGCACTTCTTGGGCATTGCTCATGCCGGTGCCAAAGCTGGTGACTGGGGTCCAGGCGCCCTTCGCCCACCCGAACCTCCCCGACCGTCCGACGCACCTGGGCCCGGCCATGTTCGGAAACGAGGAGGCGGAGGAGGAGGAGGAGGAGGAGGAGGAGGAGGAGGAGGAGGAGGAGGAGGAGGAGGAGGAGGAGGAGGAGGAGGAGGAGGAGGAGGAGGAGGAGGAGGAGGAGGAGGAGGAGGAGGAGGGAGGAGGAGGTAGGAGTAGGAGTAGGAGTAGGAGTCAAGCTAGCCAGCTCGAGCGAGTCAAGCATGGCATGCCCAGTCCCACCCGCCCTCCCACAACATAAGAAGCAAAGCTGGCACAACTGGGGGCCGAAGTCACACCGGCCAGCCGGTTTGGTACAGCTGATGCGGCCGCGATGGCGGTTGCCGACGGGAACTGGCGAGCGCGTGTTGAATGCCGCGCACGCATTGCCAGACGAGTCGAGAATGGCCCGGTACACCGCAGGAAGCCAGAGGTGGCCGGAGGAAGCCCGACGGTCTGACAGGACACCCCAAGGGGGCCCAGGAGGCCCCAAGAGGCAGGAGTAGTAGTACCAGTGGTAGTGGTGTTGGTAGTGGTAGTGGTAGTAGTAGTAGTAACAGAAAAAGTAGTGCTATGACAAGTACTTGCAGTACTACTAGTACAGTAGTAGTAGTAGTAGTAGTAGTAGTAGTAGTAGTAGTAGTAGTAGTAGTAGTAGTAGTAGTAGTAGTAGTAGTAGTAGTAGTAGTAGTAGTAGTAGTAGTAGTAGTAGTAGTAGTAGTAGTAGTAGTAGTAGTAGTAGTAGTAGTAGTAGTAGTAGTAGTAGTAGTAGTAACAAAAACTGTGTATTGTCTTTTGCAGATTAGAATGGGACGGATTGGATGGGCGGGCGCGGGGTGTGCGCCGCGTCCCATTCCTGCCATGCATTTTGAGACGTGGACGACAGGACGTCCATGCGACGGTGCCAATGACGGCGACGACTCTAGAAGGATTTGAGCATGCGCTCGCGGCGACGCGCGCGCATGTCGCCCGCGTGGTATTTTTTGCACAGGATTCGCGGCCTGGGTGCATGACAGAGCATCGCGAGTGCACCGCGCGATGACGTGAAATCGCTGGATTTGACCGAATTCTTAAGATTCCTATGGTTTTCCTATGATTTCAGCAAGAGAGCCCGGGCAGGAAATTTGTAGAATTTTTGTGAAAAAGCATTGGGTTTTTGATGTTTTTATGTTGAAATGCTTGCAAACACACGGTGTTCGGTAGGATTCTGACATGAACGCGCGCGTGTGCTCTTTGTGGTATTTTTTGCAATGGATTATCGCCGTGGACGACAGGACGTCCATGTCGAGAGGAAAAAATAAGAAAAATGTTGATTTTGTATTGTTTTTTACAGGTTAGGATGGGACCACCCGGATGCGGCCCCTAATGGCCGGCCTGAGGGGGGAGTAGGAGTATATTCTAATAAGGAATAAGGATAGGAGTAGGAGTAGGAGAGGAGGTAGGAGGAGGAGGAGGAGGAGGAGGAGGAGGAGGAGAGGAGGAGAGGAGGGAGAGGAGGAGGAGGAAAGGAGGAGGAGGAGGCGAGGAAGAGGAGGAGGAGGAGGAGGCGGAGGAAGAGAGGAGGAGGGGAGGAGGAGAGGATGAGGATGAGGAGGAGGAGGTGAGGGGAGGGAGGGGGAGGAGAGGTGGGAGGAGGAGGAGGAGGAGGAGGAGGAGGAGGAGGAGGAGGAGGAGGAGGAGAGGAGGAGGAGGAGGAGGAGGAGGAGGATGAGGAGGAGGAGCCTCGAGGCTGGTGGCAGTGACCAGCTCGCCGCAGCTCCTGACGGGCCTGTTTCGCCACCGCCATCGGTTGGAGGGGGGAAGGAGGTGGAGGACGAGGAGGAGGAGGAGGAGGAGGAGAAGGAGGAGGAGGAGGACGAGGAGGAGGAGGAGGAGGAGGAGGAGGAGGAGGATCCCCTTCCCCCTCCAACTCATGGTGGTTGTGGTGGTGGTGGCAAACAGGCCCATCAGTCCCTGCATCTCCACCTGTCTCCCGAGCGGGCGAAGGAGTGGGCGGAGGTCGCAGGCGCCCGAGGCCTCCGAGGGAGGCGACGGCGCGGGCAGGGGGGAGGGCACCGCTCGGCCTCCCAGGGATCCAGAGCGGCCGTGTCCAGGAAAGCACGGGTCGGGGGTGGACAGAACCCCCACCCTGACACGTCGATTAGTGAATTGTCCGATTCCGGTTCTCGAGAGGGCGCCGCGGCCGTCATTTTTAAGGCTTGTCCCCGCAAGGTTTGGGCCCGAGGTCGCTTTCACTGAAGCACGTTTTACTAAAGGGGGTTCTGTCCATCCCCGAACGGGCCGCCCTTCTGCGAACAAGCCAGGCCGCGACATCCACCTCGTCCGTTCGAGGAGCTCGACCTCGTGCCGTGGCTGACTCCCAACTGCGCTGAGAGCAGCCTGCGACGCGAGGCTGCCGGCAGACGCGTTCCCCTGGGACCGAGAAGCTTGACGAGTCGTCCGGATGCCCCCCGTCCTCATCCTCGAGATGGCAGGGGCTTCGGTCAGCAGTTACCCTGTCCTGCATATCTCTGGCGGCAGCGCGGATCCCGATCCATAAATTTTGATCGGCTGCCTTCGGGGCTGAGCTCCTCACCCTGCCAGCCTGCCCTGCCTCCAAGAAGGCCAGGTGGTCCGTGACATAAAGGAGGGGCCCCAAAGTGATCTCCAGAGCGCGGCAGGAAGCGAGCAATTCGGCCCCTAGGAACGATTTGTCTAGGCCCGTCAAGAGGCATCGAGGCACCCCAGACAACCCAAGACATGGGATTCTCTGGGTCCAGCTCCAAGATCGCGACTCCCGCACCGCATCTCTGACCACATGGGTCCTGGGAGTACTGACCTCTGGAGCCGTCCCCAAGAACAACGATGGTCCTCAACTGCGGCCCAAGGGTCTCCATGGAAAAGCAGACTTTTCGAAGAAACCTGAGACTCATCAAACGACGGAATGGTATGCTTCTCTGGTGGTACCCCGCGAAGCCAAAGGGATGGTTCAGCAGCAGCGTTGTCGAGAGCGCGGGGGATGAGGCAACCACTTTTCTCGTACCCTTGGTGCCCTATGTCCTCTGGGCACTCCCATACCCTGTGCAGAAGGGTCTTGAAGGCCTGCCGATATCGCCTGCACGTGACGTCCGTGGCATACCTTTGGGCTCGATGTCTCTCTCGAATCCTTTGCCCTCCAGCACAAAGTGTACTAGTGGTACCCCAAGCCTCCATGTCCTGCTGCTTGTCGTACTTCTTGAGTTAAAGTGATACTTGGGTGAGATCAGCGCCGTCGTGGATGTCGTGTGCTCTTTCAAACCGTGAAGCTCTTGCCCACTCATCAACAATGGCCCTGAGATCAACTTGCGTGAACTCTGGAGTGCCATTTCTAGGAACATGCCAATCAGCGTCGCCGTCTGGTGCTGGACGTATCCAATGAGTAGGTGCCGGACAACTCCATCCGCCTTGCAGCAATGTAGCAATCAGTGCCGACGCGGGCCCTTCAACTCTTCGCCACCTGACCTTCCCGTTCACCTGGATGTGAGTCAAGATCGCTGACCACGCCGAACGGGTAGCTGTGTGTATCTCTGGGTGCTTGCGGTGTCGCGCCAATTATCTGTCGCTGTGCCCCAGCCTCGGTCATACCGCCCTTTGGACTTCTCCTTGCGGGCCGCGAATCAAAAAACGAATCAAAAAGTGTATCTCTGGGTGCTGAAACCAAACCGTGAGCCATCCCCAGACCAGCTGCCGAGGCAGTTCCAGCCCTGGGTCCGTGGATGGCACGGCCGCTTCCAACACACCGCATTGAGGCACTGGCTTGTCGTCTAACCTGGAGAAGACGGCCAGGGGGCGATCCAAAGACTTGATGACCGTAAGCACCTTGGGGTTGTACACCGGTTGCCCGCAGCGATTGACAAACTTAGCGAGTTGTGGGGCCCAGTCGCCTTAGCCGACGAACTCGCCCTTGTCTGCGTTGAGCTGCTAGATGCCGCTGTCGTGCTCGCCTGCGAACTCGAGACCTACCTGCCGCCGCATCGATGCCGAGATTTGTAGACGCCGTTTTATATTTGACTGGGATGCCGATGGAGTTGAGCATCTTCGCACCGCGCTTGCCGAAGTACCTTGAAGAGCTGATGAGCCCCGCTTTGCTCGAGACCACCAGCCTGCTTTCTTGGAGCGCGTCCTTGAACTCCTTCGCCGT